GGGACAGTGCAGACAGGGGCCCCGCTGCCCACCCTGATCCTCAGTCACACCCTGGGTTCCTGCCAAGGGCCCTGGCCCCTAGAGCTCTCTGTCTGCCCTGTCCTGGGCAGCCTCTCTCAGGTTCCACTGAGCAGATGGCTTCTGGGATGCCTGATTTTGACTTGCAGGCAGTGTCCTCCGCCCTCTAGTGGCTTAAGGCACAATGCACCAGATGTTTTTGTGATTGAGTGCAGGGACAGATGCTTGTCCTGTGGCTTCACTTGTGGAAGATATCCCTCCCCTTCTTGGTCAGTGACTAGGACAGCAGCAGTCTACTCTGCCGGGGTAACTCGAGTTAGGGTTAGGGGACAACGTACAAAGACTGGGGGACACAAGTGGACACCCTGGAATGCGGTCTGAGCTAGAAGCCTCGGGGCTGTCCAGAAGCTATTGTTACCTTGTGTCCTGGGGTGGGGGCTGTCAGGAGGACAAGCTGAACTGTTCCCGGCTGTAAAGGGCTGTGGGTAGAGCCTCCTAGGCTCACATTATTCTAGGGACAGCTTGGGAGAAGGCCCTGCAGGATGTCCGTCAAATCTGCCCTCGTGGTACCTCCTGTGTGGTGTGGGTGACTGAGACATGGAGCCCCTCTGAGGGGAGCTGTTAGCTTCCTCTGGACGGCCAGTCTGTCTCGCTCTGAATGGGGATGTCTGGGAAGAGGTGGGAGCCTTCCCAATTCTAAGCCTCAGTTTGCTCGCTTTTAAAAAGCATCTAAAGCCGGGCATTGGTGGCACACGCCTTTAATCCCAGCACTCGGGAGGCAGAGGCAGGTGGATCTCTATGAGGCAAGCTCCAGGATTGCCTCTAAAACAATACAGAGAAACCCTGTCCCAAAAACCAAGAAAAAAAAAAAAAAGCATCTGGAGCCACAGGAGTGGAGTGACAGGTCTTGTTCCAGCGAGGTCACGTTCCCCTCTGGATGTCCTAAGGGGATCAGGAGTAGGAACTAAGTTTGTATATGTCCCGTGGGAGGGAGCCAGGGGGCAGAGCCTCCAGCTTGAATTTCTGGCCGGCTCTGAGGCCACAGGCCACTTCTCCTCAGTGTTCTCCTTACCCAGAGGACACTTAGGGAGCCCCAAGACTAGGGCAAACCTCAGGCCTTCCTCCTCTGCCATCCTAAAGTTTCCAGGACAGTGGGCAGCTGCTGGTGGCCACCTTTGCCCGGGTCCCCAAACCTGGGTGGTGCTGGCGGAAGACCTGACTCATCCCACTGGCTGGCAAGTGGCACTGCTCTAAGCCTCTCCTCACCTGCATGCCAGCTCACAGGTGGTGCCTGGGTTGCACTGGGCTTGGCCTCGGTGCCTGAGCTGATGACTGGCGGCCTGTCTTGGACACTGCTCTTCATCCCCTCTGGGTACAGCTCCTAACGCCAGTGCTCGCTGCGCTGCCATTGGTTCACCCTTCTTTCTGCCACCTACAGGCTCGCCTCAAGTTCCCCATCGACTACCCATATTCCCCACCAGCCTTCCGGTTCCTCACCAAGATGTGGCACCCAAACATCTATGAGGTAAGTAAGTCACTACCAGCACCCCAGATACCTGCCTCGGGCACCCCCACCACACACACCTTGGCCTCCCTTGTACATGCCCGCACCTCATCTTACCCTGCTCATTCTTGCAGACAGGGGACGTGTGCATCTCCATCCTCCATCCCCCAGTTGACGACCCACAGAGTGGGGAGCTGCCCTCAGAGCGGTGGAACCCCACACAGAATGTCAGGACCATCCTCCTGAGTGTGATCTCCCTGCTGAATGAGCCCAACACCTTCTCGCCCGCCAATGTGGACGCCTCAGTGATGTACCGGAAGTGGAAGGAGAGCAAGGGGAAGGACCGCGAGTACACCGACATCATCCGGTGAGTGCCAGCGGTGGGCAGGGCAGGGCAGCGCCACTGCGGGTCCTGCTTACAGCACATGCTGCTGGCTGTCAGAGTGACCTGTGTTCATATGTGCAGTGGGGTACGCCCCGCACAGCACAGGCCCTTCCCATAGCTGCTCCTCGGGTGGCAACTGCTGTTTCCAATCGTGCATCCTCAGCTTGGGAGGAAGGGAGGAACGGGAAGGGAGGTCCAGAGCACAAGTAGACCACCCAAGATGGCCAAGATCTCTCTTTGGCTCGTCACTTGATGTGTCTTCATGGGTGACTGGGTACTATATAGGCCACACCCTCAACTGCCTCTGTAAGCATCGCTTGCATTTGTGGTTGACACTTAGAGCCTTTCTGCAAAGGGGGAAGGTCACTGAGCCCACTGTGAGCATCCTCAGGAGCCTGTGTGACAGTGTCCACATCCATCATCACTTTTCAGCAGGGATTCCTGGCTTGTTTGGGGGTCAGGTGGTCTCCCTTATACCCCTAAAGCTGGGTATGAGATTGCACTTGCAGGATTCTACCCAAATGTCAGCCCTGCTGAGTGTCCATGCTGGTACCCACATTCCCAGGCCCGGTCGCTTGACTTCTCTGTTTTCTGAGACAGACTTTCCTGTAACCCCAGATCCTCCTCAAGTTTCCTCCTGGTGCCAGGGTGACATAACACCTCACTGAGGTCCCCTGCTTCAGCACTGACCCAGGAGGACAGGTGCTTGTCCACACACAGTGACCTGGGCCCATCAGCAAGCGTGCTGAGCAAGCCACACATGTCAGCCTGGAGCCCTGGACAGGGCAAGCCCCTGCCCGTCATGAGGAGCTCTGGGCCTTGTCCTCCAGAAGGCAGGCCTGACTTCTCAGAATCAACGCAGGCTACAGCTTGGTGGTCAGGGCTAGAACAGGGTCTCTGGCCTCAGAACAAGATTCGCGTGTGTTCCCCCCTCTCCCGCTGTGTAGCCCTATGGTGGAGGTGTCAGTTATTCAGGAATGTCTGCATGCTGCACTGTGGCGGTGTCACCCTGCTCAGATCAGCATGGTCTGCAAGTCCCTGCAGCCCTGTCCTTGTCCTCTGCTCGGGCTATCTTGTGGGGTTTCTTTTCTCGGTTTCTGAGAGAGACAAAGTCTTACTATGTAACCCTTGGCTGTCCTAGAACTAGCAGGTAGACCATACTGGCCTCTAACTGAGACCCACCTGCCTCTGCCTCCTGAGTGCTGGGGTTAAAGGTGTGTGCCACCACCATACGGCTTAATTATGGCCTTTGTTGTTGTTGGCTGTTCTGCCTGTCCTTTGTAAGTAAATGTTTTAAGCTTGAGTTTGCTGTGGGTACACTGAGCCCTTTCCTGTCAGCCTGACAGTCGGGACCATAAAGGTGTCTGACAGGCTGCCCTGGACTCTGCACTCACAGGGTACCCCTGGGTGCAGGCACCAGTGGAGGCTTTGGAGCTGGGTCTCCTGCCTCCTGGAAGCCTTTGGCCCAGTTCCTGGCTGCTTCCTTGCTGTGTCCCTGTCCCAGAGCAGAAGCCCCATGCGATTTTTACCGTACTGACTCCACGAGCCTCTTGCTATGACCATGAAGAGGCCCCGTACTGCTCCTGGGACTCAGCCTGAGAGCCAGTGTCTAGACACAACGATGCACAGCTAGAGACCGGTGGGAGAGCCTTGAGACAGGTCTAGGCTAGTACAATGTGCTGTCTGTCACAGACGCCCCTCCAGCAGTGTCTCGTACCCCATCCCTCCATGGAAGCTGAGACCAGCGTCTGCCCGCCCTCTTCACCCATTAGTGCCTGCACCCTGAGGACGGCCAGGCCCCTCGGAGCACCTGAGGCTCAAGCCCAGGCCTGATTTCTTTAGTTAATTGCTGCCCTTGTGCAGGGAAGCTCTTGCTGTGTATTGCTTCAGAGTGAAGCCAAGCCAGATGGGTGTCCCTGTCACTCCCCCCGCAGTCCCAACTGTAAGCCTCCAGGACTGGCTTCGCCAGCACCTCAGCTAGGTTGCAGTTTGGGAGTTTGTTTTGTGTGGTGTGGTTTGGGGTGGGTGCATACATAAGAAGCCAAGGGGCAAGGTCTGGTGTCCTGCTCTGTCACTGTCTGTCCAGGTCCTGTGTGCTCCCCACAGCTCTGGAATTGCAGGCCTCGAGGCTGCCGTGCGGCCGCTGTGCTGAGGACTGAGCTGCTGGGGACTTGCTTGCACAGCCGCTGCTCTTGCTGCACACTCTTTGTCATTTAAGCCCGGTCCTGCGGTGGCCCAGGCGGGCTCCAGACTCACAGCAGCTTCCCGCCTCAGCCTCCAAGTGCCAGGCAATAGGCCTGTGTCCAGCACGTCTGTTACTTTCCTGCCTGGGAGCTGTCACTGAGCCACCGTTGTCTCCTGGCCCCTCCTCCCACTTCACCCCCATCCATTGTCTTTGGAATACCGGGGTGCCTTGGCCATGGCCTCACCTCCCCTGTCTCCCCAGGAAGCAGGTCCTGGGGACCAAGGTGGACGCGGAGCGTGATGGCGTGAAGGTGCCCACCACGCTGGCTGAGTACTGTGTGAAGACCAAGGCGCCGGCGCCCGACGAGGGCTCAGACCTCTTCTACGACGACTACTATGAGGACGGCGAAGTGGAGGAGGCCGACAGCTGCTTTGGGGACGAAGAGGACGACTCTGGCACCGAGGAGTCCTGACCCACGTCCCTGAAATAAACTTACAAATTTTACCTCAGCAGGACCCGTGTGGGCCTCAGGCGACAGACTACCTCACTGAGGTTCCATGTGGGCTCCCGTCCCGTGACCCTTAGGTCCTCTTAACCCATGGTGCCTGGCAGACACCCCACTCAGCTCACAGATGGTGACGAGCCTGGGAGGCTGGGGACTGCCTGGTGGGGAGGCAGAGACTCCATCCCAGCCTGAGCAGGGCCAGCCTCACAGTCACCTCCTCTGCTTTGGTGTGTGTGAAATCCAAATAAAATGGCTTTCTGAGAAGCTGGGAGAAGCCGCCAGGACGCCAGTGGCAGTGGGCAGCCCGGCCAGGGCGGTGGGATGGGCAGAGGAAGCACTGATAACGTCTGTTCCTTGGGCTCAGCGGTCACAGAGCCCCCAGCCCAGAAGCAGCTCCCCCTTGCCTGCAGATGGGCCGCCTGCATCAGGCTCTGCGCTGTTCCTCGAACCTGTGTCCATCAAGCCTGTAGCCGGGAGGCTGGGCCGGGCTTTGTGTCTCTGCAAAGCCCCAGGGTCTGAGGCGTGGAGGACCCCCAATCCCAGCAGTCCTTGTGGTCCAGGCACTTCCCTCAGCCCTGGAAACCCCAGTGACTGCCTGAGGAGGCCCTGTGGCCAGGGGACTGAGCTACAGCCTGGTGACTCCCCGAGAGAAGGACAAAAGTGACGGTGACCCGGTGCTGAGATGACATCCTGCTGTGCCACTTACAGTGTGCTGGGGATAGAAGCCAGAACTTCAGACCACTGGGTTTGAAAGGAAAAGAAGGCCAGTCAACGGTAGCCACTCCTTTAACCCCAGTGCTTGGGAGGCAGAAGCAGCCAGATGTCTGAATTCTCGAGTGAGTTCCGGGACAGCCAGTGTGGTTACATAGAGGAACCCTGTCTCAGAAACGCTGAGTGTCACTTCCCCGTGAGGGCCTGTTAGTCTAGAGTCCACTATCGAAACAAGCCATGTGCTCTTGAAGTGCGCTTAGAGCGCTCCCTGCCAGTCTTAGCCAGTCACAGGGCACGTGTCTGCAAGGGAAGGAGGCTGGGGACTGGGGACAGGATAGAGACTTGCCCAGCCATTGCAGTGCACTGGTGGCCCCTGTTACTAAGGTGGTAAGAGTGGCCGGACAGTGGTGGCACAGCCTTTAATCCTAGCACTCCGGAGGCAGAGGCAGGAGGATCTCCGTGAGTTCTACAGAGCGAGTTTCAGGATAGCAAGGACTACACAGAGAAACCCTGTCTCCAAAAACAAAAAGAAAAAAAGACGCTAAGAGCGCAGGTGTGGTGGTCTTTAGTCCCAGCACTCTGAGGCAGAGGCAGGCTAATTTTGGTGAGTTCAAACTCAGCCTGGTCTACAAAGTGATCTCTAGTCCCGGAGGTGAAAACCAAAGGATCAGAAGTTCAAAGCCACCCTCAGCTCTACTGAGTTTAAGGCCAGCTGGGCCCCGTGAGACCCTGCTTTGGGAAAAAAAGGGTGGGGTGGCATAGTAGCACTGCCTTTAATCCCCGGACTCAGAACACCTAGGGCCACATAGTGAGACCCTGTCTCAAAGAAAAAGAGCCCCTTCAGGCCATCCCCTGCTACGTACAATTTGAAGTACCTGGCCTGCAGAGTTCAGGCCAGTAACAGGGCTTGCCACGCCTGAGGATGGGACTTGCGGTCCAGGACCCAAGTGCCGGAGACCTGCAAGATGTCCTGTGGGTCCGGGTGTCGGGTGCCAGGCCGTGGGTTCACTGCAGTGCTAAGGAAGGAACTCAACACCAGGAGGGGAGCACTGGTGATTTGATCGCTGGGTTCCAGCTGCTGCCCCCAGAGACAGGATGGCGTTGTCTCACTTCAGAGACACTTTGGAAACCACCCAGAGCAGGGTGTGAAGGAGGGGCTGGTACTTGTGCTAGATGGGCGGGACTTGGAAGGTCACCTGTCCTCACAGGAAGAGAAAGTGGGGAGACCCCCCACCCCGGGAACCACAAGTCCTGCACCAGGATGGAGGTCCACCAGTCCCTGCTGCTCTTGCTGGCCCTGGACACACTGTGGGCAGGTGAGCATGAAGGGAAACAGGCCTAGAGCCCAGTCTTCAGGGGTCTGTAGATGGGAGAGGAGGGTTTGTGTACCAGGAAATTAGATCATTCGAATCACCAAGAAATGGCGTCTACAAAAAGCTCACTGAGCCGGGCGTTGGTGGTGCACACCTTTAATCCCAGCACTCGGGAGGCAGAGGCAGGCGGATCTCTGTGAGTTCGAGACCAGCCTGGACTACAGAGCGAGTTCCAGGACAGCCTCCAAAGCCACAGAGAAACCCTGTCTCGAAAAAAACCAAAAAAAAAAAAAAAGCTCACTGAGCAAAGCTAAACCCTGAGCTTTGCCTGGTGACAGGCCTGTGAGCTCGGACTTGAGTGAGGCGGGAAGGTTCCCATGGGTTTAGTTAGAGTGAAACCCTGTCTCAAAAAACAAGGGTTTAGGGGATGGCTTAAGTTGGTAGACCATGTGCCTGCGCCTACATACACAAAGCCTGGGTTGGTAAACCTCCCAGTCCCAGAGGTGAAAACCAGAGGATCAGAAGTTCAAAGCCACCCCCAGCTCTACTGAGTTTAAGGCCAGCTGGGCCTCATGAGACCCTGCTTTGGAAAGAAAAAAAGGGGGGGATGACAGTAGCACATGCCTTTAACCCCTGAACTCAGGCAGGTGGATCACTTAGTTCCAGGCCAGCCAGGGCTACATAGGGACACCTCGAGAGAAGGGAGGAAAGCCTCAAAGGTGCTGTTCATCATGAGTGTATACAAAATCAGCTAAAGGAAGCTCCTTAGCCTGTGGAAGGAAGGGGGAGGGGAAGGAGAGGAAGGAGGAGGAAGAAAGAAAAGCGTTGGTGGCTCACGCCTTTAATCCCAGCACTCGGGAGGCAGAGGCAGGTGGATCTCTGTGAGTTCAAGGCCAGCCTGGTCTACAGAGTGAGTTCCAGAACAGCCTTTACTACATAGTGAGACCATCTCCAGGGGAAAAAACAGTAGGTATGCCTCATACCTGCAATCCCAGCACAAGGGCAGGAGACACAGGGTCCCTGGGACTCAAGACAGGCTGAGTCATTGAACTACAAGCTCAGTGAGAGCCTCTCAAACAATTAAGGTCTAGAGTGATTGGGGAGACTTCAGACTTGATCTCTGACCTCTATATACATGTTTCCAGCACACACATTTCTATTTGAGACAAGGTTTCACTATTGTAGTCCTAGCTGACCTGGAACTCACAGAGATCCGTTTGTCTCTGCCTCCCGAGTACTGGGATTAGAGGTTGTGTACAACCACCTTCCCAGTTTTTGACACTTACAACCTTCTAGACCCTTCTCCAAAGAAAGGAGCAAGGCAGTGGTGGTGCACACCTTTGATCCCAGCACTCGGGAGGTAGAGGCAGTCAGATCTCTGAGTTCAAGACCAGCCTGGTCTACAGAGTGAGTTTCAGGACAGCCAAAGCTACACAGAGAAACCCTGTCACAAAGGGGAAAAAAAAAAACAGGCTAGGGGAAGTTGGCTTTTCCAAGTATAACAACTCTTAAGTTATGGACTACAACTCTTTATTTTTTTTTAAAGATTTATTTATTTATTACATATACAGTGTTCTGCCTACATGCCAGAAGAGGGCACCAGATTGAATTGTAGATGGTTGTGAGCCACCATGTGGTTGCTGGGAATTGAACTCAGGACCTCTGGAAGAGCAGCCAGTGCTCTTAACCTCTGAGCCATCTCTCCAGCCCTACAACTCTTAAGTTATGTCTCTCAGACAGCACAGTAACTTTTTGTCTTGAGAATTGGCGGAGACACAGTATAGCCAAGGCTGATGTCAAACAATCGAGCCTCAATCTCTCAACGTGATTTTTGTTTGTTTTTCGAGACAGGGTTTCTCTGTATTGTTTTGGAGGCTGTCCTGGAACTCGCTCTGTAGACCAGGCTGGCCTCGAACTCACAGAAATCCACCTGCCTCTGCCTCCTGAGTGCTGGGATCCCAATGTGATTTTAAAGTATGGAGAGTGGCTTGTCCTTCGTCTCAGTGAGCAGAACAAGCTCTGGCCTCATGTTTTCTGCCAGGCATAGTGACACATGCCTGTCCTCACAGAACTGGGGAGGCGGAAGCTGGCAGATTGGGAGTTCAGGGTCATCCTCAGCTACATAGTTCCAGGCCAGCCTGGACTACATGAGGCACAGTCTCCAATTTAAAAGTTTCTTTTTCCTTAAAGGGAGCTACTCAGTTTTGGGTTCTGGCTGCACAGCCCTGCAGACACAGGTCAGCCTGCAAGTGGGTGAGCTGCCCCCTGAGGCCACAGCTTTCTCTTTCATGTACACTTGATTTGGGCTGCTCCCCCCCTCCTCTTCCTCCTCCTCCTCCTCTTTAAGCTTCAGGAATTGAGCTGGGTGGTGGAGGTACACATCTTTAGTCCCAGCACTAGGGAGGCAGAAGCAGGTGGATCTCTGAGTTCCAGGGCTACACAGAGAAACCCTGTCAAGTAAAGCTTCGAGAATCCTACAGGACAGAGAACTCAGCTCCCTTCCAAGTGTTAAAAACTCTGGTCTGGGAACCAGCCCCAAGGAAGCAGTGGCGGGGCCTCAGGCTGCCTGCAATAGGTGTGGACTGGCCCTGTGGCTGGGGTGAAGCAGGATCTTAAGGCATGATGGGAAGATTTTTGAGTTGGCTCACATTAAATTTTTACCAGTATTTATTTTAAATTTTGTTTTGAAACAGAGTTTCTCTGTGTAGCCCTGACGGTCCTGGAACTTGCCTTGTAGACTAGACTGGCCTCAGACTCAGAGATACATCTACCTCTAAGTACTGGCATCAGAGTTGTATACTACCACCCAGTTCATTTTAGATTTTTTAACTTTGTTCTTTTGTGTGTGTGTGTGTGTATGGTTTTTCGAGACAGGGCTTCCTGTATTGTTTTGGAGGTTGTCCTGGAACTTGCTCTTGTAGACCAGGCTGGCCTCGAACTCACAGAGATCCACCTGCCTCTGCCTCCTGAGTACTGGGATTAAAGGCATGCGCCACCAACATCCGGCTCATTTTAAATGTTTAACCTTGATCCTGCCATCTTTCTAGAGCTGGGATGACAAGCATACACCACTAGACCTTGTTTCTGTGGTGTGGGGGGACTAGAACCAGCCAGGGAGTGATGGCACAGCCTTTAATCCCAGCACTCCGGAGGCAGAGGCAGGCCAGAGTCTATAAATTCAAGGCCAGCCTGGTCTACAGAGTTCCAGAAAAGCCAGGGCTACACCAACACAATGAAACCCTGTCTCAAAAAACTAAAAAAAAAAAGCCGGGCGTTGGTAGTGCACGCCTTTAATCCCAGTACTCAGGAGGCAGAGACAGGCGGATCACTGTGAGTTCGAGACCAGCCTGGTCTACCGAGTGAGTTCCAGGACAGGCTCCAAAACAATACAGAGAAACCCTGTCTCGAAAAACCAAAAAACAAAAAAAACTAAAAACTAAAAAAAAAAAAAGTGTATGCATCTGCCCAAAACACTCACCCCTACACCCTAACACCCACAAATCCACTTCCTGTTGTGAATCCTCACCGTGTTCAATTCCCCCCCAGCACTGTGTCATCAAGGCTCTTCCATTGTTGTGGCATGCCTCAGAACGCCGCTCCTGTCCAGAACATGAGCAGAGTGAATCAGTCCCTCATACAGACATGTTCTCCCCTGTCGACACCAGAACATTGCCTTCTCATTTTACGTTTTATTTTGTAATTACCTTTTTGAAGTATCGGTAATGGTGCATGCAGTGCCCTCGGAGGCCAGAAGGGGGCACCCGACTCCCCTGGAGCTGGCCTTACAGGCCGCTGTGTGTGTATGTCAGTCAGCCGGAGTGGGTGCTGGAAATGAATTTATGCTCTGCCAGCAGTGGTTCTACTCTCTGAGCCCTCTCCAGCTCTTCATTCGCGTTTGAGCGGCACCGTAGGAGCATCTGGGGAGTGGGGTCCTGCAGTGTCGAGGACAGGGATCAGTGGGGATTTTAGGCAACCAGTCTGCCAGACTCGGAGCTTCCAGGCTTGGTGGGAGGCTGGGTGTGGCTCCCCTAACTGCCCTCTCTCTCACTTAGCAGGCAACACATTTGAGACCCACATCATTGGTGGTCGGGAGGCAGCCCCGCACTCCCGCCCGTACATGGCGTCTCTGCAGAAAGCCGGGTCCCATGTGTGTGGGGGGGTCCTCGTACATCCCAAGTGGGTGTTGACTGCTGCCCACTGCCTGTCTGAGCCGTGAGTATCCCAGCACCTCCAAACACTCCCTGGCTTCAGGCACTGAAGGATTCAGGCCAACCCTCTCAGGGCTAGAGAGGCTGTTGGTTCTGGTCCAGTGGGTCACATAGTACAGGAAAGGACGTCTCCTTTAGACCCTTCAGCTGTGACACCCAGCACCCAGCGGTCTGTGCAAGCTGGCCTGCCAGTGAGACAGAAGCAAAGAGCACTGTCTGCTCTTCCAGAGGACCTGAGTTCAATTCTCATGGTGGCTCACAACGGTCTATAATGAGATTTGGAGCCCCCTTCTGACATGTAGGCATACATCCGGGTAGGAATGCCTGCCTAATGCCAGCTCCATCGTAAAGAAAAACCCTGAGCAAAAAGGGTTAGTGTGCTGGCACTCGCCTTTAATCCCAGCCCTTAAGGAGGCAGAGGCAGGTGGAGCTACATGGTTCCAGGCCAGCCAGGGCCATTCAGTGAGATCTTACAAACCAAACAAAAAAACCAAAATATTCCAGAAGTCTAGGCTTCAGGTATGAGTAAGTGTCTCTCACATGGCTGCAAGTGTGGACCCCTGAGTCCTGTGGATGCAGGAGGTCAACTCAAGAGCACCCCAGAACAGATCACAGCAGCAAGGCTGTGTTAGGGGAGGAGGGCGCTGAAGCCTCCCCGGAGGAGGAGGAAGGTGGACTGGAAGGTTGCTGGGGGTTCCTGGGAGGAGAGGAATGGCGGTTCTCGGCTGTGGGCGAGCAGGGCTCTGCATTGCAGGGTACAGCAGCTGAAGCTGGTGCTGGGCCTGCACCACCTCCATGACTTGCGAGACCCGGGCCTCACCTTCTACATCAAGGCGGCCATCAAGCACCCTGGTTACAACCACAACCTTGAAAACGACCTGGCGCTGCTAAAGGTCCGGGGGAGGGGCTGAGGGGCTGCCTTGGCCTGGCTTCCCTCAGCCCCTCACTGGCCCTCCTGTCCCCACAGCTGGATGGGCGGGTGCGGCCCAGCAGGAATGTCAGACCACTGGCTCTGCCAAGAAAGGGCCAAGCCAGGCCGGCAGCAGGCGCCCAGTGCAGCACCGCCGGCTGGGGGATTACCCACCAAGGTGGGCACCTGGCACAGGCCCTGCAGGAGCTGGATCTTCACGTGCTGGACACCCGCATGTGTAACAACAGCCGCTTCTGGAATGGTGCCCTCGAGGAAGGCATGCTGTGCCTCAAGGCTGTAGCCAAGAGCCAGGCGCCCTGCAAGGTGAAAGGGTCAGCCTGGAGGCCTGGTCTGGGCGGTGGCCCAAGCTGGCTTGTGACACCTATTCCCTCCTGGGTGGGGTGGGGGCGGAAGGAGGGTGGAGCTAACATTCATCTCATTTCTCAGATGCAGAACCAGGGCCCTGCGAGAGTTAGGCCGTCTAGGTTGGAGGTCAGGAAGACAGACTTGTGGTTTGAAACCCAGCACCACAGACTAGTCATCTGGGCCCAGAGCGCAGGCCCTGGGGTGGAAGGAGAGGGAGGACAGGAAGGGAAGACAAGGGTGACTTGGGCTTTGTGAGATGCCCCAGAGCCTCCCAGGCCCCTGGTCCCCAGGCAGGCACGGAAGCTGACCCGTGTCCCTCACCTCCCACAGGGTGACTCTGGAGGGCCTCTGGTGTGTGGCAAAGGCCATGTGGATGGAATCTTGTCTTTCAGCTCCAAAAGCTGCACAGACATCTTCAAGCCCCCCGTGGCCACCGCCGTAGCCCCCTACAGCCCCTGGATCAGGAAGGTCATCCGTCGCTGACGGCCCCAGCCTGTGGCCTGAGTGTCCAGGTCATCTGGACACTCACTGGCCTGGGTGGGAAGGAACTAGATGTACCTCTGGGACCAATAAATCATGATGTGTCTGTTTCACCCAGCCCTGTCTGCCTCTGGCCTGTGTGAGTCTCCGTTTCCCCTATAAGATGAAGGTGTCCCTTCCCAGTGGCTGTCAGCACAGCCCTAGGACACAGAATGGGCCTGAGCACCAAGGCAAGAGCAGTGACAACATCTTGGCCATCAGGGGGCACCAGCTGCCCTCTGCAGCTATATCATAGGAGGTACAGAGAAGGGAGGCTCCCACAGAACATTCCCGACTTCTACTTTACTGGCACCTCAAAACAAGCAGCTACAGTGTCACCTGAAGGGACCAGACCCTCACCCAGCCACCTGCTTTAGCAGCCATGACAGACTGCAAAAAAAAAAAAAAAAAAAAAGACCCAGCAAGATGTCTGACCTTGCAGGACCTGCCCTAGTCACTAGGAGGCCAGATGCCCATGTCCATGTGGCAAGGAACCAATCAGAAGTTAGCTGGAGGGCCCTGGATGTGCTTTACGGTAAAGTGGTGTAATAGTGACCAGTGACGTGCAGAGCATAGCACCATCCTGGGAGGGCCTTTAGGCCAGAGCCATCAGTTGACCAATCAACACAGGACAGGTTGCCCAAGCCCGGAAGTGCACCAATCCTGAGACTGTTGTGGACCTCAGACACTGCCCTTGCACGCCCCAATAAATCCCTCCCCCCCAGCGGTTTCTCCGGGTCCTTCTCACGCCAACCACTGTGCTGGATGCATGAGGGAACTGAGTTACAGCAGTTAACTCGTTAAACAATAAAAGACTCTTTGCTTTTGCGTCAGGACGGGTCTCTTGATGACTTTGGGGTTCAAAAGTTGGGCACAGTTCCAGTGAGTGTCAGCACATCCAGCATCAGTTCCAGAACATTCCATCAGTGTACTTCCACCCCAAAAGGAAGCCCCGTCCCCATGAGAGGTTGCTCCATCCCCTCCCTAGTTCCCTGTCATGTGGTCTTACATTGTGTGGCCTTTGTGTCCTCAAGGTCCCTCCATATCGTGGCAGGTGTAGGACCCTCCATCATCTAACTATCTGGTCTCCTGGTGTTCTAAATTAAAAAGGGACATCACCTGGGAAACATGACACTCAGCCCTTGTCTGTCATCTCTGCAGCTGGGAGGCTGAGGCAGGAGGATTGCCTCCATTTCAAAGTCAACCTGAGCTACATGACACCCAGTCTCAAAAGCAGGGGTAACCTATGCATCTTATAGCCTTCTCCCAAAATATTCTTTTTCCCCTTGAGAGAGAGTCCCATGGTAGTGGCTCATGCCTTTAATCCCAGCACTTAGGAGGCAGAGATAGACAAATCTCTGTGAGTTCGAGGCCAGCCTGGTCTATAGAGCTAGTTCCAGGACAGCCCAACCCTGCCTCCAAAAACCTAGAGAGCGAGAAAGAGTGAAAGAGAGTGTCCCATGCAACCCAGGCCTCAAACTCCCTATGTCTATTGTAGCTGAGAACGATCTTAAGACCCTGGCTCGACGGGCGTTGGTGGCGCACGCCTTTAATCCCAGCACTCGGGAGGCAGAGGCAGGCAGATCTCTGTGAGTTCGAGGCCAGCCTGGTCTACAGAGCGAGTTCCAGGACAGCCTCCAAAGCCACAGAGAAACCTTGTCTTGAAAAAGCCAAAAAAAAAAAAAAAGACCCTGGCTCACCCGTTTTCACCTCCTGGGTGCTGGGGTGACAGGTATGCTGTACACACCCTTTTGAACCCAGTGCTAGAGAAGCGTGCTCTGCTTAGATATTCTCATTTCTTTCACGAAAGCAAGAACAGGATGTCTGGGAAAGGCCAGCCAGAAGTCACAGGGCGGAATTACAGCAACCGAAGCTTAAATGCCTTCGGCCAGCTTATTTTCCACCCTGCACTTTGTCCCAGAATGCTGGGTTGGCTCAGCCTTTTCTCTGCCGTGCCCCAGGGAACATCCTGCCTGCCTCACCTGGCTTCTGGACTCTGGGTGGCCCTGGCCCCATAAAATAGGTTTCAAAGGTATCAGCGGATTAACTTGGTTTTATAGATAGAGAACGGCCAGGGAGAAACAAAGCTGGGAGTGGTAGGTACGCCTAGGGTTCCAGCCCTTGGAGGCTGGAGTGGTCAGGGCAAGAATTCCAGGCCAGCCTGAGCTACAGAGCTGGATTCAGGCTCAAACAAAGAATTAAAACAGTGGGGGCTGGCCGGGCAGTGGTGACACATACCTTTGATCGCAGCACTTGGAAGGCAGAGGCAGGCAGATCTCTGTCTGCAATCCTGTGCCTCAGCCTTCAGAGCCTAGGGAGTTACAAGTGTGGGCTACCAAGGCTGGCTGGCCTCATCTTCTACCGACATCTGCGCTGTCTCTGGCCCTTCACAAGCAGTCCTGAAACCTTGGGTTGTGTGTGTGCAAGTTAATCTCGGGCATCAACAAAAGTTGTTTAAGTTTTGTTGTTTTGAGACAGTTTCTCCTTGTAACCCTGTCTGTGGACCAGGCTGAGAGATCTGCCTCAAGAGTGTTGGGATTAAAGGTCTGTGCCTCCATACCCAGCTTGTTTGGTTTGTTTGTTTGTTTGTTTGTTTGAGACAGGGCCTCTTACCTAGGACTCACTAATGAGCTAGTTCAGCCGTCCAGCAATTCCCAGAGATCTGCCTCTCCCTCCCTTCCCGCCCCCGACACCACTTCAGGCTTCCTCTGCAGAACTGAACTCAGACCCTTACGTTTGTGTAACAGGTATTTTACCAATCCAGTTTCCCCAGCTCACTCTAGGTTTTCTCCTGCTGGTTAACATCTGTGAGGCTGAGCCTAGAGGTAGGATACACTCTCTTAATCCCAGCACTTGGGAGGCAGAGGCAGGCGGGTCTCTGTGAGTTCAAGGCCAGCCTGGTCCACAAAGTGAGTCCCAAGACAGCCATGGCAGTTACACAGAAAAATCTTGTCTTGAAAATCTTTAAAAAAAATTTGAGGCTTTCACCCATAAACCCTCCAACACCCCTTCCAATGGATGTGGTGGCCTCTGTTCCTGACTGTCCCTCTAGCAAGATTGTTCAAACCTAAAAAGGAAGAGGCCAGCTGGGCCTCAGCCATCAGCCCGAATGCTGTCGGCCGGCTGGACTTCCTCTCAGCTCTCAGTCCCCTAGCAGGGTTATGGGGCGGCTCCAACTGGACACAGATCAGAGGGGCCTGGTCTGTACTGGCAGGCCAGGTGTTCACTGCTGCCGTCCAAGCTTTCTCTTAACTGTTCCTTCGTCTAGAACCAACCACCCACAACCCCATGAAGAACAGGAGGCCAGGGGCTTACAAAGAGCCAGCGGGGAAACCCTCGGCAGACAAGAAGGAATACGGAGGCTGCAGTTGCTCGCCCCTCCTGGACAGTGGAGACCTATGTGGTTTTTCTCTCCTCTCTCTCCCCCTCCCTGCACCTCTTGAGCAAGATTGTACTGTTGTCTAGTCTGCCCCTGAGCTTGCGGTGATCCTCCTGCTTCAGCTTCCTGAGTGCTAGGGTGACAGACATGTACCAGCACACCCGGTTCCTCCCGAGGACAGCACTGGCCGCCTGTGCTGGACACCACACTCAGCCCCTCAGCCGAGTCCCTACATAGAGTGGGGGTGGGAACAGCCAGGCTGAGGTGGCTGGCGCCAGGCCCGAGAGGTACAACAGGGTTCCAGAGACATCACACTGTGAAGACACAGGTGGAGGATCACTGTGCCACAGACAGCAGCTGTCCCGGAGCCGCACACGGACCGTGAGCAACGATCACAGGACACAGAAGGCCTGGCCCTCAAGATTTGGACCTCGTGTGGGGCCGCAAGGTTTGCGTGCCTGCTGTGTTAGCTACTGTCCTGTTGCTGGGATAAAACACCAAGACCACGGCAGCTCTCGAAAGGAAGTTTATTTGGGCTTATAGGTCCAGAGGGGCAGCATGGCAGGTGGCGAGGATGGTGGCAGGAACAGAACCGAGCACTCACATAGTGAACCGCGAGCATGAAGCAGAGAGCGTGCACTGAGAATGGGGAGGGGGGAGTTTCAACCTCCACACCACGTGACACACTTCCTCCAGCAAGGCTGCAGCTGCAAGCCTCCCCGAGCCAGACCACAGTAGCGATGCCTGAGAGTATCGGGGCATGCCAGCAAAACCAGCACGTGTCATCCCTGCATTTGAGAGGAGGGCCAGCATGAAAACAAAGAAGGAGCATGAATCATAAGGAAAAGAAAGGAGGACCTGGAGAGATGGACCAGTGCGTGAGAGCTCTTGCTGGTCTCACACAGGACCCAGGTTCTATTCCTAGCAACCACAAAAGGCTGACAACCCTCTGTAATTTCAGTTTCAGGGGATCCAGTGCCCTCTCCTGGCCATGCTGGGAGCTGCACCCACATGGGGCACATAGATACATGTAAACAAACACACATAGACATGTAATAAAACTAATAAACCTCGTTTATACACGAATACAAACAAATAAAAATAATTTTAAAAGCAGAATCTAAAATAAATTGACGTGGTGATTCATGTCTTCAATCCCAGCACTTGGGAGGCAGAGGCAGGCAGATGTTGTGAATTCAAGGCTAGCCTGGTCTACAGAGTGAGTTTCAGGACAGCCAGGGCTACAAAGAGAAACTCTGCCTCAAAAAACCAAAAACACAGAGGCAGGCAGATCTCTGTGAGTTCGAGGCCAGCCTGGTCTACAGAGGGAGTTCCAGGACAGCCTCCAAAGCCACAGAGAAACCCAGTCTCAAAAAAATAAAAAAAAAAGAAAAAAAAAGAAAAGAAAAGAAAGAAAGAAAAAGAAAAAAGTTACAGAGCCGGGTGTTGGTGGCGCACGCCTTTAATCCCAGCACTCGGGAGGCAGAGGCAGGTGGATCTCTGTGAGTTCGAGACCAGCCTGGACTACCAAGGGAGTTCCAGGACAGCCTCCAAAGCCACAGAGAAACCCTGTCTCGAAAAAACCAAAAAAAAAAAAAAAAAAAAAAGTTACAAATAAAAGCAGCCGAATAAATGTGTATTTTACAACTATATCTCAGTAGATTGAGGGGGCTGTGAGAGTCAGAGAGCTGCCACCCCACTCAGAGCATATGCAAGCCTTCATATGGGCTGGGCTGGCTTCTGGCCTTCCTACTTCCGGTCTGCTCCTCAAAAGAGCCCTCCCCAGGTGGGCAAGTGGAAAGACCTGGCTGTGCTCTCTCATCTGCAGCCAGAGTCCCAGACCCTGGGCTGTGTAGATGGTGCCTGGGCGGGTCCTTCCTTCCTCTCCCTGACTCAGGGCTGCTGGCTCTCCAGGGCCTTGAGGCCTCATCGCTCCAGCTTCTTTCTCTGCCTTTACCTGGATTCTGCTGGATGTGAGTGGCTGGCATGCATTGTGCCTGTGTGTGCCTGTGCCTGTGCCTGTGCCTGTGCCTGTGTGTGTGTGTGTGTGTGTGTGTGTGTGTGTGTGTGTGTGTGTGTGTAGCTCCTACCAAGAATTCCTCCAATTCCAGTGAGGGGACTGAGGGCTGGCTCAGTGGTTGGGCATGTGTATGAATTCCATCTTCCATCTCCAGCACAGAAAGAAAGGAAGAAAGAAAGAAAGAGAGAGAGAGGGAGGGAGGGAGAGGAAATGAAGGAAGGAAATTCTGTCTTAGCTGGTGACCCACTTTTTTTTTTTTTTTTTTTTTGGTTTTTCGAGACAGGGTTTCTCTGTGGCTTTGGAGGCTGTCCTGGAACTAGCTCTTGTAGACCAGGCTGGTCTCAAACTCACAAAGATCCGCCTGTCTCTGCCTCCCGAGTGCTGGGATTAAAGGCGTGCACCACCAACACCCGGCGGTGACCCACATTTTTAAT